CAAGCAAAATTATAGTTTTGTATATTCCGATTTTTACGTTTTTCGACAGCAGACGATAAGACAAAAGGTTCTGGAGTGAATAATAACAAGCATTACCCGAGTTAAATCTGCTCTTAACTGCCTCCTGAATCAGGTATCGACCTGTTACTGTCGTTCGCAAGGATTTTAACTGTGCCACATTTTAAAAGGATCTTTGACGCGTCTTTCTGATACTGCCCTGCATTCTGCTGCCCCACAGCAGGATAAACAGACAGCTGCCTCTATAAGATCAACTCCTGCAAGAACATGAGACAAGCACTGTAACACCATTTAGATAACATTCATTTTCCCGATGAAACAACCATGTGTATGAAATTATGTTGCAAGTCACAATCTAACTGCATCCTGTATATCCCATCAAAACAATATATTGTCACGTGTATGAGCGATTACAGACGGAGTTTGGGTTCATAATCGGTTTTACTAAACTATTACAACTCTGCAACTACAAGGATTATGCTCTCTCATTTCTACACGCTTCACAAGTCAATATAGGACCCACTAGGATCTACTGGACTATTACAACTCTCCAATTATAAGGATTATGCTCTCACATTTCTACACGCTTCACAAATCAATATAGGACCCACTAGGATTTACTAGACTATTACAACTCTCCAATTATAAGGATTATGCTCTCACATTTCTACACGCTTCACAAATCAATATAGGACCCACTAGGATTTACTAGACTATTACAACTCTCCAATTATAAGGATTATGCTCTCACATTTCTACACGCTTCACAAATCAATATAGGACCCACTAGGATTTACTAGACTATTACAACTCTCCAATTATAAGGATTATGCTCTCACATTTCTACACGCTTCACAAATCAATATAGGACCCACTAGGATTTACTAGACTATTACAACTCTCCAATTATAAGGATTATGCTCTCACATTTCTACACGCTTCACAAATCAATATAGGACCCACTAGGATTTACTAGACTATTACAACTCTCCAATTATAAGGATTATGCTCTCACATTTCTACACGCTTCACAAATCAATATAGGACCCACTAGGATTTACTAGACTATTACAACTCTCCAATTATAAGGATTATGCTCTCACATTTCTACACGCTTCACAAATCAATATAGGACCCACTAGGATTTACTAGACTATTACAACTCTCCAATTATAAGGATTATGCTCTCACATTTCTACACGCTTCACAAATCAATATAGGACCCACTAGGATTTACTAGACTATTACAACTCTCCAATTATAAGGATTATGCTCTCACATTTCTACACGCTTCACAAATCAATATAGGACCCACTAGGATTTACTAGACTATTACAACTCTCCAATTATAAGGATTATGCTCTCACATTTCTACACGCTTCACAAATCAATATAGGACCCACTAGGATTTACTAGACTATTACAACTCTCCAATTATAAGGATTATGCTCTCACATTTCTACACGCTTCACAAATCAATATAGGACCCACTAGGATTTACTAGACTATTACAACTCTCCAATTATAAGGATTATGCTCTCACATTTCTACACGCTTCACAAATCAATATAGGACCCACTAGGATTTACTAGACTATTACAACTCTCCAATTATAAGGATTATGCTCTCACATTTCTACACGCTTCACAAATCAATATAGGACCCACTAGGATTTACTAGACTATTACAACTCTCCAATTATAAGGATTATGCTCTCACATTTCTACACGCTTCACAAATCAATATAGGACCCACTAGGATTTACTAGACTATTACAACTCTCCAATTATAAGGATTATGCTCTCACATTTCTACACGCTTCACAAATCAATATAGGACCCACTAGGATTTACTAGACTATTACAACTCTCCAATTATAAGGATTATGCTCTCACATTTCTACACGCTTCACAAATCAATATAGGACCCACTAGGATTTACTAGACTATTACAACTCTCCAATTATAAGGATTATGCTCTCACATTTCTACACGCTTCACAAATCAATATAGGACCCACTAGGATTTACTAGACTATTACAACTCTCCAATTATAAGGATTATGCTCTCACATTTCTACACGCTTCACAAATCAATATAGGACCCACTAGGATTTACTAGACTATTACAACTCTCCAATTATAAGGATTATGCTCTCACATTTCTACACGCTTCACAAATCAATATAGGACCCACTAGGATTTACTAGACTATTACAACTCTCCAATTATAAGGATTATGCTCTCACATTTCTACACGCTTCACAAATCAATATAGGACCCACTAGGATCTACTGGACTATTTCAACTCTCCAATTACAAGGATTATGCTCTCACATTTCTACACGCTTCACAGGTCAATATAGGATCCACTAGGCCTTCTCAGACCGTTAGGGCGAGGGCACACCAAGGAACCTGGCAACCGAAATTTCCGAGAACTGTTATCAGCCTCGAGTTGAACACACGATACCGACTGAAGCAGCGCAAACTGAGGAAACTGCGTTTCCGTTTCATCAATTTGAGCTGCTCCATTCAGTTTCATGTGTTCAACTCAGGATAACAAATCTCGGATATTTCGGTTGCGTTGCGGTTGCCAGTTTCCTTGGTGTGCCCTCGCCCCTACAGCCTTCACTAGCCGTTGCTTGATAGCGCGGCTTCCAATGGCGGACGTTCCCCTTCCTCTGGGCTCCCGAACTGTCGCGGCCTCAGTTACCACCTTCTCACACAAACGCCCAGCGGTTATCTAACTCACTAACTCGCCATCCAACTCACTGTCCTGCTTATAACATCTCGGCTCGGACCGTACAGAAAACAGAGTTCCTGTTACAGTGCAACTGTTGCCATGGAAAATGCTTGTTTGCGGAGCCATTACTAAGCAACGGCTGTTATACAGTTGCTTCTTTCGCGTTCATTGCCTAGCAACGGGGCTACGCGCCACAGTATACTTTGATAGCGACCCATTATTCTATTGATTTCCGTTACCGATCAGTGTGTTTGTTTACACAAAACCAAAGCAAAACAATTACATTTATTTCATCTAATGAGTCAATCTAAATCAGTATTAAACCTGACCCAAAAAACATATCATAAACATGGGGGGGGGGGGTTAAATAAACTGAGTAAAAGATTCTGCCAAAAGTCCAGTATCTCGGCATTTTGGATCCTACCTGACACAATTCACTAAGCTTCAAGCACATAAATGAAGAAAAATTGGTTAGAGCTGTTTTGGCAAACAATCGCTGATTAGAGTACCAAATGAAATAAATACACTGCACGAACAAAACGGAATTTACCAATGTTAAAACAGGTGGTATACACTCGTAAATTTGAAGGTGTCCATGTGCCAGAGCATCTCGTCAGCATGTCACTCCACACACATTCCTAACCTTTAAGCATTACACGTAGGTGTGCGGCCGGCTTCACCCTAACCGCTGGAATCGATCTAAATGCTGGTCTGAGAATCACTGCTAAGAGCGAAATCGCATAACATGCTGGAAATGGAATCAACAGTCGCCACAAGAAACCATTTTTATCTCATTGAAAACACCGGAAATTCTTATGGGGGCACACCCCTATTCGCCCTAAGTCGCTGTATGATTTGAACGACAACAGAATTCGGAAGACTGCCCACACAGAGAGCACGCATTAGCAAGGGCCAAGAAAGAGCAGTGCAACGGATGAGAGTTCTATACTTATACGATCCTAGGCAGTGCTACCAGTTTATTGAACAACATATCAGCAACAAAGGTCTGTTGTAGCAGCACGGTCATGAAGGGCAAGCAAATTTAAATCCATATCGTAAGAGTGGCAACCACACGAGGAAGAATACGCGATCCGCTATACAAGCCCGCAGTCTGCGCGCTCCATTCACAAGAGGCACATGCGGCCTCTGCTGGCCCGCATTTTCTTACCAACCGTTTATCTAATGTCACTGTCTGTAACACCCAGACTATAAGCCTATTGCGTCAAATTCCTGGATTACGGAATAGTGAACTCGAAAGATGGGAACTTGTCTTGCATAATCTCAAGTATATCTCGGCATCCACATCAATGGACTGAGGAAATCCACGAACTATCTAAGTCGGGATAATTCATATGGCGGCCGAGAACCGAACTCTGCATATGCAGGAACGGTTAACGCTTACGCCTACTTGTTCAGTAACGTCCCCGTCCCTAACTACGGCCAAGCTGATTCAAACAGGCTCGGTCGTTTCCAGGCTAATGCGCCCACACTAGCAAAACGACTGGTAATACATGAAACGTAGGTCACACTGTCCCGTTTGACCCTAAAGACGACCAAGTTTCGATACCTTCTCACGTAACGCTTGCCTCCTGCTTCATGCTGGTTTGTTGCTTGATTTAAATCTTCGACCCTGAAAACGGAGGCATGTTCCTCCGTAAAGTCTGCGGACTGCATTTCATCCCAGAGAACAGAGCTCTTCCTAGTCACAAGTTTGGAATAATACACAATGGCATTCTTAGAACAGTACTATCTACTGTAATGTGACACCACGTACGGCAGTACAAGTTCACTGACATCTCGGAGAACGAGCTTACTCTCTTTTAGAGTCGTAGCACCAACCAGAGCTTCTTCTGAAACGTCTGAGAACCTCTTAACCGACGGCGTCACAATCCGCATTGATCATCTTCATAGGCCACTTCTACGGGAACCTCAAGTTCAAAAACATATTTTCAACCCGATGTCAGAATTTGTATTTTGACGTTCTTTACCTTTGCTCAACCTTAGTTTCTACATCAAGTTGTATTAAGTTTTTGTCATTTAACGCAATTCCTTTCATTTCGTGGAAGGCGGAAATGGACGCTTACCGCGAGTGGCACTGTGTAAGGAAACAGTGTGACCCCAGCTCTGAGTTAAGAACTAACGATTGCAATACTGACGTTTTGCTTTGTGCAGCGTTACACGGAGATAAACCACAGAAATAGAGGAACAGGACGCAGGAAGCGTCTAGGAGTCAGTGCCTACCTGTTACGGAGTGAATCCAACAAGTTACCAAGATCACAAACACAAAACTATAATCCTGTCGCCACATATTAAGCGATCGACTTGTTACACATTGGTCCAACACTCATTTACGCTTTCACACGCATTTTACACGCACTTCTACGTCAACGTTAATTTCAAACATCATTCCTTCACCGAGCCACGAAATACTCTAACTTCCCATTGTTCGCTGCAGTCACTGAAAGTAGTTCCCATGCGGAAAGGACTTGTATCCCTTCGCGCATCGAACTGTGGGAAAGTTTGCTGCTGTGTGAAACTTTAATTTGTATACCAGATGCGAACGTTACAATCTTTCTCACATAAAATATGAACATTAAGATAAGAATATTTTGCTAACAGTAACATTTCTCTTGTTTAAAAAGTTTTAACAGCAAATGTGTGGTGCTCTAACTTCTTTGGTGGACGGTGAGGAATGCACTGTTGTACAGCAACCACCGACCAATAGGAGGAGTTCATTCACATTCAATGTTGCTAAAAGGGAATGATGATGATGATAATGATCATCATCATCATCTCGCGTTGCAGGGTAGAGCACGGGTCCCCCGGCAGCGCAGAAACAAGAAAATTCGCTTATGTTGCATCGGATTTCCCTGTCTCCAGTCACTGGCTCCAGTCGCTCCAGTCCACAACACTCGCGTCATGGACATCAAAGAGAAAGATTTAGGTGCAGCAGCGGAAAATTTGCCAATGAATTAATCTATTAATGGCTTTACAATGCACTGGACTGCACACCCGATTCTAAATTGTCTGTACATAACGAATCTTCAGCTTCTCGCAACCCGCGTCTGATATAAAAAAGACGTCGGCTTAGGAGCTACAGTTGACGATTATAGATTACTGTCGAAAATAATTATCATACGCTTTTTCACGAACATGCCTGCTCCTATTTTTCCCCCGTTATCTTCCTAAGTTACTTTATGTAATTCTGGTTCAACTAACTGATTAACTTTCACATTTCAACTACAAAAAAAAAATTTGTTTTTGTGACACCATGATAACAGCATTCGCCACATGAATTAAGATTAACAAGGACACTTAGTCTTCTAAAGCAATTTCTTGTAAATGTAGCAGGGAGTATAGAGAACGTACCTATACTCTATCCATCTCCTTCACCTTTACACAAACACTATTTTAATCACCGCTATTTATAAGCCACACTAACCGAGAAATTTATTTTCAAGTAAAGTGGAAACCTTGAATTTCTAAAGTATTTCTAAGTCAGTCTTTCAGGCTCCTATGAGAACATCCAACACAACAGCCCCCAGACTCCAAGAATCCAGGACTTTTCATTTGTATCCACACTGTGCAACAAGCCGGAAGATAACGGTTTCGGTTCCCGATGTCATCACTACATTTTCCAATTGTCCTAATACTTCCAGCCGCACTATGGGCCCTGGGGTCGGCTCAGCATTTAGTAGAAATGAGTACCAGGAACCTTCCTGCGGGTACAGGGCGGCCGGTGCGTAAGGCTGGCAATCTCATTACCATTGAGAGCCAATTGTCTAGAAAATGTGGAAGCCTCGACGTCTCAAAACCCTATTTGCCTCCAAGCCTGTTACAGGGATAGATTTGCCCTTTTTACCTTTGCCTACTTTTGGTTTTACATTTTCGCGATTTTTGTGTACGAGCGGAAGGTATCGGCAGTTTACGCACCAAGAAATCTGCATTTGCTGTGGCATGGCTGTAATGGTATCGGAAGGCAGTTTTCTGGCTTCCAGGCTACCACTGTGGTCATTATTCATGTAACACTTCATATTTTATGCGTAATATAATATTAAACGCTTTGTTACCTACGGTACTTCATATGTTTAGTGATGGAACAGGCATCTTAATAAGTCTCTGACGAGTGCTCACAGAGGCACGGTTCCCTAAGCTGCTAACAGCGGTGTTCCCAGCTCGCTCCTCGCGGTTGGCCAGACATTGTTGTACACCTACAAAATTCCACCAGAATCCACTGCACTGGTCATAGGAACACACTGCAAGGTTTCTTCCGTCATAAACAACATAAGTTACTACATGGAGCCTGTCCTTCTTGAGAAGCTGATAGTTGTGCAGCTGAGTTCCTACATTTGACGAAACCCGAAGGTTCATTACCGTGGCCCCTATTCTAAGCCACTTTTATCCCTGAGTTTTGAATGCCATAAATAGACGGCTGTTTAATATGCATACAGACTGGTTACCGTTGTGCTCTAAATGGTTAAACATTCGAATGTTACCGTTATTACTGGCACTCAGTCATCCATATTTAATGGTTAAAGAGCACATTTTTTGTTGTAAAATATGAGTGCATTTACCACCTGAAGCCTAAAGTTAATCGAAATAATATTTAAAAATTCAGTTCATATCTCACAGGAAACACAATACATAACCGTTCTTCTGGAACAATTTAAACTGAGGCGATAATATTTTTTCGAAAGAACTTAACCAGGATCCAGACTCCTTCGTGTAATGAGAGACTCTTTCTCAAGCCAAATCTATTTTGCCCTGCCTAGCATAGTCTGGGAAGCGTTTGTCATATATACCAGGTTCTTGCTCAATTAACAGCATAAAAACAAAATTGGCACATTTTTGTGCCATGTGAAGAACCAAATGTATCACTGAAGTGCGTTATAGAACAGCTGACACTAGGAAACCACACGGCAACGCAATTATGAGAAGACTGACTAGCTCCGTTGCCTGGAAGAACAGTTTCTTAGTCTTCCAGCGATTTGCGTTGCCGTTTCTTTAATTGGCGCTGCTCCATTCAGTTAGACGTGTTCAACTCAGGCTGGTAACAATTCTCGGAAATTTCGGTTGCGTTGCGGTTGCCAGTTCCTTGGTGTGCTCTCGGCCTATAAGATCAGTATATGTAATTTCAACGCAATATTAACACTATCAATCTTCATTCCACTTCTTTCTACTTTAATCGCAGCAGGAAGAGGTTGGTACAATTGGTAATTTATTTAGTTACGCGATGAACGTCGGATATATAATGTGCCTGCCATCTGTTTTACACATGTGTAATTATAAGAGCCAATGTGTGGTGTGTTGTAAAAGTGGATTACGAAATGTGCAGGAAATTTGTCGCAGTGTGGCGTATTACTGTTGTTCTCTGCGATTCATTTTTTTTGAAATTTACTGTTGTTCCATGCGATTCATTTTTTTGAAATTTCAATGCTGCATTACACTACATTTGCATAAACATTGAAAATAATTCTCGGCCGTTTTATACGTATGATCCCACCACACACACATGATTTCTCCAAACTAGAATTATACAATGATCAAAAAATTTAAAAATACAGGCTAGAACAATATATACTGCATAATGCAACACATTTGTAATATTATTCTACCAATTTTTTCTCAAATCAGAAAATTATCCGGCGAAAGGGGGGGTGTTGCGAACCATTACCTGCGGTCTACGCATAGGACCTATTTCAGAACGTTCAGAACGAACTCAATATGGCATAACTGCGTCGCTTGTTTACATCACCTAACCTCACTTTCTTCTTATACAAAAGTAACAGGGTGTACTGAAATATATTCATAAATATTTATTATGTCACAGACAAACAGTATAAATGATAAGAAGTTAGCAGACATAAACAAAGAGATTTTTGAATTCAAGAAAAAGATACAACTGTCTGGTAATATGGAAGAATTGTATATACACGTACAAAATGCTGGAATATATTTGTATTGTATTGAAGTCAGATATCTTGTCTAGTAGAATTCTGTTTTGGGATAATTTTCAAAATTTAGGGTTCAAGGGCAAACAAGCGGAAACAACAGGCAGGGCAGTGCTCATCAATTGGTGACATGGGCACTGGTGTGGGTTAGCAAATTTGCCTTTGTCTTGATTTAACCAAATTTGAAAAAATTACTGTCTATTTTTACGAAACCTGGTGCGAACGTAATGTCAGTGGAGGCAACGCAGCCTCGCACTTACTAATTCCCCACAAATGACAATGTAAGGGATGCACAAACTTGTGAAATTGGTGACACCAGTGACATATAGTAAAAGTAAAGCTATCCCCATACCAGGCCATGAAGTCCAATAGGGTAGTGAGACGTTGAGGGCCCCACACTATTTAAACAATAGACAAAAGTCAAAAAGTTTTGTGTTGTAATATTTCTCCAAGAAGTATGGAACGTCTCTTGAGACATGTCTCATTGCAGAATGTAAAACATCATAATGGCAGCTGCATTAAATCCATATTGAGCTCCAAGAGTTCCATCTGATGGGATGTAGTGCCATGTAATCCAGTGAAAGTCACCATACTACACAGTGTAGATAGAAAACTTTTCTGTGAGAACGTCAAATCGAATATAGTTAACTTCGTTTGTTGACGTTGATAATCAATGAACACTGAAGCTGCTCAAGACAAACAAATCCAATGAAAAACACTATTAGAGGAAATTTTTTAGCATTTCTGTTGTCAGATTGGTTTTCTGAGGTGGATCAGAAATGTATAACTCTTTTTAACACAGAATTACTGCTTGTGATCCAGACTATTTTTCTGACATACCAATTCCACTTTGTACATACAAGTTTCTTTCTGTACCTTGCCAGCCTTCAGATAATGAGTTATATCCCTCATTAAGTTACAAGAAACTTTTAGTGAAAGTGCTTTTGTTTGCATTATGCCCTCCTCATAAGTTACTGGATTACTGTTTCAGAGGGTCGGCGCAAAGCACATTATGAAGAACTGGATGGGGAGAAGAAGAGGAACAAGGACAGAGTAAAACAGCTGAAGAAGGAGATAGAGGATTTGCATGTACAGCTGTCAAGCACTGGGCAGGTTCGTCTTCTTCCTGCAGCATTTATTTTTTATGTGTGTTAGAGGACAGTAAGTCTCTAGTATCTCATCTCATGCCACAGTGCTGTCAATATATACCTGAACCATCACGTAGATCTCTTTCCTTGAACTTCTAATTCTAATTCTTTTTAACCTTCTTCTATCCATTCTTCTTAATGGCCAAAGTATTGTGGTCCTCTCCAAAATCTATTGGGAAATTTTGTGTTTCAAATTCTGAGAAGTTTAGAAATTCACAGAATTTTATAGCTGCAGGAAGATAAACACGCAAATAAAAAGGTAGAGGTAATGTTGTCAATGTGCTTAACTAATTCAGCACTACACCATGAAGTGGATGTATAGATCCACATTTTCTTGACCTTTGCACTAGTTGGAGGTGAGTGGTCAGCTTCACGTCCCAGCTGCTTTACCCCCAGAGGAAGAGTCCCTAGTACCCATTGGATAGGAGGCTGGGTGGGCCTCAAAGCCAGTCTGGACGAAGTGGAGATGAGAAATTTCTTGATCTTACCAGGACTTGAACACCGACCCCTCAGTCATCCAGCCCCTGGCCAGTCGCACAAAAATGCTGCATATAAAACAAATTGTGATAATGACACAGTGTTGTTGCAGCACACTGACAGCATTCTGAGGGCCAGCAAGGAGTTGGGTGCTTTGCGTAACAAGACAAGTGATGAGGTCACCGTGATACTCGACTGCAAGGCAAGTGACCTCAAGAAGAAGCTTGATTGGCTGCATCATGAGTCAGACAAGGTATATATAGCACCAATGTGTGTTGGTATGCAAGCGCTAACAAAACATGACACAGATCAAAGTAAGTTCAAAGGCTGTTAACCAATGAACGGGTGTTTTTCAGTGTGAGAAGAAGCTCAAACTGCTGGCAGATGAGTACCACACCCTCCTGAACAGGAAGGCCATGCGCCAGGAGAAGCAGCATGCTCAGGCTGTGAAGTCTGTGGTGAGTGAGTCATGCACAAGAGGAATGGAGAGAATTACAAAGGACTTCATTAGTTGTCCCTTTCTAACTAATTTGTTGTGGTGATTAAATCAGGCAGCATAATCTGGATTGTACCTGTAGTAGACATGGGAAAAATTACAAATACATACAAAATTGTTGTTGGAAGTCTGCATGTAAGAACTTAAATTAAATGGCAAGGTGATATAAAAATTAATCTCAGAAATAGTTTGTTAAGATTGTGAACTGCATTCAACTGGCTCAGAGAGGTCATGTGGGAAGGCTTTCAAAGGATGGTGGTGGGGGTGCTTTTATACAAATTTATTATTGAACTGTACTGTTCGGCTGCTGAAGAAGTGTATTGACCTCTCCTCACAATTCCAGGAAATCTGCTCGTTGGAGAACCAGATACATCGAGTAGAAATGAACTTGATGGAGGCGGAGCATGTAAGGAAGAAGTATCAGATCATACAGGGCAGCTTGCTGGATGATAGTGTTGCCTTTGAGAGCTCATTAGTGAAGATTGAGGAGGCTATCAGGAAGCAAGAATCAGAAATAAGACATTTGAAGGTGAGTGGTTTGTTCAGAGGTGAGCTTTCTAAGGCAGACAGATAGACTGTTACATGAGTCTGTGTTACAGGCAGTATATGGTGAGGCACTTGGCTTGCGGGACGCAACAAAGGGCACACTGGTGAGACAAGAGCTCAGTGCAGTGAACATGGCCAAAGTCAGAGAGAAGGAGGTTCAGGACCTAAGGTAGAGAGACTTCAGTATATCATGGTCATTATCTCCACCACAACACGCAGAAAGAAAATAGACATGGCATAAAGTAGTAATTTTTAGTGTACACAATTTTCAAATTGTTTTATATTATCAAGCTGGATCTACACTTGTTCCAACTCACATGTTTACTTTGGCCAGATTTCAAGTGGATGAACAAAGAATAGAACTGGAACATCTTGAGCGCAGAATTTTCCCTATAGGGCGTGCATTAGTGCATCAAGACTCTGCATGTTCGTTAGAAGGTGTGCCATCAGCAGCAGATGATTCCACACTCAAGATGACCACACAGTTAGAACAGGCGTTTGAGAAGCTGAAGGCAGTGACAGGTACAGACCAGTTCTCTGTTCTTATTCTGATGAAGACCATTAGTTGCAAGCATTCAAAACAAAGTCTTTTGAAAACCTTAGATCAGCATTTGTTAGGCATACTGATGTGTCTTCTTTATCCTTGGCTACTTTAAATGGTGTTCGAGATTCCATTGTAGATTTCTGTTCACTTGTGTCTGTGTACATTGTCTCCTATAGGAAATATACAGGTATTTTCTTTACCTTTGTTTTCTCTGATATGTGTAGTGTGAGAAAAGTACTGTGAATATAAAAAGAACTGGTTTTTGGAATGCTGTCTTTGAGTTTTGCTAGCACATGAATGGTCGCATGGATTTCATTGATACTTGGTATATGAGAATTTACCCATCATAGGTAAATGCATAGTGAAATGAACATTCAACTCTAAAAATAAGGACGTATAAGGTAATCCCCCCCCCCCAAAAAAACAGTGCCGAATTTCTTAAAAAACTTCAGACATCATTTTTTTACTTTAAATTAATACCTGGAAACCATCTCTGTACATAAAACTGCATAGATTGTATTTACAGGAAAATAATGAGGGTATGTATGCACACTGAAAGCAAAAAATATCAGTTCTCTTGAAACTTGCTCTATTGGCTGGACAGATTTCACTGCTGTTTGGGTCCAGATATTCTCAGCACTGTCCTCAAACACCCGCAATATGTTCTTTCTTTGATTAGACATTCTTTAACATAGATGTTTAAAGAATGTATAAAATCAAGAGTGTTGTATGTTTAAGCCTTATGTACTTAGCATATGAGAAGACAAAATATTCTGAACTGAGTGATAGAAACCATTCCCTGAATTTATATGTCCTTAGTTTCCAGTCAGGCACAAGTGTTAACACTTGAACAAACTAGCTCAGTAAGATGGAGATGGGATGGTAATATTCAAATGAATCTGAGAATCTGAACTAGCAGATGACCATTAATTCGATATTATGTGCACAAAATAGGGAGTTCAGAGAGTAAGGCCTTGTGCCAACTTGTCTGCATAGCTGTGTGGCATCATTGCTTTCAGGAGAGACAGATGTTGAGGATGTATTCAAGAGGTTTGTGTCACAGAAGGAGACTCTGTCACGGTTGTCATACTTGCGAAACATCACAGAGGAAGAGAAGCAGGAGTTACAGAAGCAGAAGGACTTCATGGTCACTGAGCTAGAAGCATTCAAGTTTGCAGAAGTGAAGGACAATGAACAGTAAGTTTAAAGAGTACCTCCAGAGGAATGGTGGGATAATGCTGGAGAGCAGGACATGCAATTAATCTGCCAGTGAACAATATTTAATCTGTGTAGTTGAGAGCATTCATTACATAAACCACCCCACACCATCGTATCGTCAGTTCTCATTTGATACTGTGCATCGATACTTTGGCTAATGTCACCAGTGTGAGCATCACCACAGATGTGCGTCTCTTTAGTTGCTTGATCACAAAATTGATTTGCTGCAGAAATTCTGTATTTTAAAAATTAGAATTCGCTTAATGGGGGGTGGAGTCCAACTGGGTGCACTCGGCACTGATTGGCCTATTGCAGCCTGCCCCGGGTGATTATGATGATGGAGAATTTGGTGGAATGAAGATTGGCATGGGAAACCGAAGCACTCGTAGAAAACCTGCCCCAGCGCCACTTTGTCCACCACAAATCCCACTTGACCAGACCCGGGATTGAACCCGGGTCACCGCTATGGGAAGCCAGCGACTAACCGCTTGAGCTATGGCATAGCCTTAAAAATCAGAATATGCCAACCTATGTCTAAAATTAACTGACTACACTGAGCAGAGCACTTCCTAAAACAATAATAGTTATTTAGCTGCTCAAGAAATGCTTCACCTTCTATCGAACCTGAAGGTTCATTACCTTTGGACTCTGTTCTGACACAAATGAATTGAGTTTACATCCATGCATTTCTTAAAGGTTAATTCTACTATTACCTTCCCACCCATGCCTAGGTCTGAAAATTCCCCTCCCCCAGGTTTTCTGAACAAGTCTGCATGCATTTCCCATAGCTTCCACACATGCTACAATGTGCCCCATTCTCTCCTCCATTTCATGTCTGAAATTATATATCCACAATTTTCTTAGCACTTCCCCCATCAGATGTCATCTGCATGCAGGTAAAGATTTCCACACTGTGTCCCTTCTGAAATGAAAGGAACACCGAAACTGGAAGAGACAGACTTGGCAAATCCTTTAGCATACCTGCTGGTGTATTGAGATCACATTTGGCATTGAGGCCATGAACACTCGTTGTTTCTTTGTTACATGTGTCAATAAACTGGTAAGAACGGTAAAGCTATCCCTGTGATGGGCTGTGGAGGCCCACAGGGTTGTGAGACATTGAGGCTCCCACATTTTCTAGACATTTGGTTCACATATGGCAGTAAGGTTGTCAGCCTTATGAGCCGGCTGCCCTACACCCCCGGAAGATTCCCAGTGCTCATTTCTGTTATAGGCTGAGTTGACCCCAGGGCCAGGGTGTAGCTGGAAGGATTAGGTCAACTGAAAAATTCAATTGCCCTCATTGGGAATTGAATCCATGACCATCTGGCTTGTAGCATGGCAGTTGTTACTCACTGTTTGTAGGAATGCAGATGAGCGTGAGAAGCTGAAGCTGCAGATCCAAGAGGAGGAGGACAGGAAGCAGAGGTTGGACATGGAGGTTCACAAGGTGATGGAACAGCTGTGTGTCATCAGCAGTGTTCTTCGTTCCTTCTGCACCAAGCTGCAGGTCAGTGCAAACAATATTCACATTAGGATGAAACTGAGTTCAGATCTCCGCAACATCAAGACATCGGAAGCTGAAGGCAGCTACTAAGTTATTATTTTTTATAGTTTATTTAATAATGCTATCATTATCTCAAACTACTGGTATATAACATCAAATGGTACAGGGTAATAAATTTGAAAGGAGGTGAAGTGGTAATGATTTTAGGGCTACTATCCTGGTATTTTACTGGAGGGACTAAGGAAGACTACTATAGTGATGGAATTATGACTGATAGGGGGAAAACGAAGTCTGTATCACTGGTGAAGAGATGAACCCAGGCCTCTAAGATGACTAACTGCCTGAACTGTGATGCAGCCCACCTTATGAGGTGTCTCATCTCATACGCTTGCAGCTCAATATCATCTCCAGTCTTTACTCAGAAGGAACTGGGATTTGACAAAAAGGCATTCCCCACTTCCCCCGGCACTATATAATCTCTGCAGTTGATATGACATTATTGAACAACTTCACTCCTCAGGGTGTCAGTGGAATTGCACCACCTCCAGAGTCTGAGGACATCACAGAGACACTAAGCAGCCAGATAAAGTGTGTGATGGACCGCATTGGACAGGGGGATGAATATGACAGAAGGGTGGAACAGGTGCAGGAGAAGGTAGGTTGATGAAAGCTGTGATGTGCCACGGATGAGATTCACGTTTTAGCAAGTGTCCCGACACATCTGCATGCCTTGTCACTCACACACACACAGGACAACTGCTAGTGGAACTCATAAATTTAGGGATGAAATGATGGGAGGCTAGAGAAAACTGCATAATGAGGATCTTCATAACTTGTATTTCATGGTAAATATAATTATAATAATTAAGTCAAATCAAGGAGGATGAGATGGACAGGGCATATAGCAAACATGGGAGAGAAGAAACCTGCATACAAGGTTTTGATGGGGAAACCAGAAATAAAGAGACTGCTAGAAAGACCAAGAAGTAGATGAGATGATATTATTAAAATGGATCTAAGGGAAATAAAAAGGGGTAAGGACCGGTTTTATCTGGCTCAGGATAGACCAGTGGAAAGCTGTTATTAACATGGTAATGACCCTTCAGACTCCATAAGATACTGGAAATTCTTGAGTAGCTGAGTGACGGTTGGCTTTTCAAGGACATAGACCCATGGAGTTAGTTCCCTTATAATGCCTAGCAAAGATGCTGGACATTTGACCTGTCAACTTGGAGGAATTTCATACTGAGATAAAGCATGAATACATATGTTATGGGAAAAACCTAACACATATTAATGTTGATCTCCTGTACCAAATTTCATCACAATCCTTCTAATGACAGTCACAGCTACATACAGAACAGACAACATGAAGGTGATGGTACTGCCACCTGGTGCTGGTAACAAACTATCTGAAACTTTGTAAGATTTGAGGCTTTCACGGCGGTGACTATGAAGAAAGCAGTCTTCTGGGATTTGGCACCGTGTATATGTGGTGTTAACTGACGTTTCAGAGGAACGTATCGCCTCCATCTTCAGGGCAGAAGAAAAATATAAGAAATCTGCAAGCAAAGAGTCTGCTTTTACTGGTTCTCACGGTCTCTTCGCTTGCAGATTTGTTATATTTTTCTTCTACCCTGAAGATGGAGGCGATACGTTCCTCTGAAACGTCAGTTAACACCACATATACACGGTGCCAAATCCCAGAAGACTGCTTTCTTCATCTGAAACTTTGCATGATAAATTTTCTTCACTTCATCATGGTGATAATATACAATGAAGTCTTCTTGGTCATCAGTCTTGTCAATGTAGAGTTGGTGTCTGATATGTCAGAGATCGTCTCTGTCTCCATCATCAGGGAACACAACACTTAGCACATCAAACCCTGATTATAGGAAATCTCAGAAAAGTCTGGAGACAAAAATATCATTCAATTGGATGTGAACATTCCTTCCTGCGTTTGTTCTTTTGAATGACATCATCAGTACCATCACAGGAACCGTGTTAACTCATGGGGAAACACTTGGGCCACTTAACAGTAGTTCTATATGGTGATTAACCACCAATAAAATGAAATATGTGTGGTAATAACACTCAACCCAGTGATGTATTTTGTTGTGATGATACTTGTCAACACATTACATAAACCCACTGAACAATGGTACAGTTAGTATTAAAATTGGTGTAATAAGTCTCTGGAATTCTTAAATGAATCACATGATTGCAGGACAAATCAGGTTACTTGTAAGACCTTATTACAATGACATGTATTATGCTTATAGTTTGAGGGACTGACACTCCCAGTGAAAGTCACACCAGAGGTACTGGACTCTAAGCTACCTGCTACATTAGTTGCCACTGAAACAGAAGATGAAGATGAGGTGCCCACGAGGGGCTTCTTGAAGAGGCAAGCCCAGATAATTGTGGATGCCAAGTCTCGCCACAAACAGTTCCCAATGGCTGCCAGGGCCAAGAAGACTCTGACACTCAAATGAACTGTCTACGTAACATAGTTTAGTATCATTTCACTCACTCAGCGTGTACCACGTCACATGGCAGGGTGGTTAGTGAATGATTTGGAAAGAATGCGGAAGTCATGGTCTAAACTGAACTACTATCCCAACATTTGCTTGGGGTAGGATCAGTGAAAATAGCTGGCCTCTGGGATGAGATCTGAACCTGGGACCACTTGAATACAAAGTAGGACTGCTACCCACTTACTGCAATAGTTGGTTCACAAGCTATTAAAATTATAATTTATAGGATGTATTTTCAATTTGGTGGTCTATGTAATATAAACATAGACATTATTCAATGTAACATTAAAAAATGGAGCAGGCATTAAGACCGTCATGCCTACTCAAACTACAGCTTGATAGTTGACTATGCAGTATCAACTACTCAGGCTACTTATCACTGTACATAATATATATGAATAGTTGTTTCACCACTCTCTTATTTTGAGACCACTTAGCAAATGGGTGTTGCTGTGCCATCAGGTGGCTCAGAGTCCTGGTCCCAGTGCTCCATTGCAGTGCGTAAACACTGGCACAATCTGTTCAGCTCTTGCAGCAAGACTGTTAGAACATTATGAAACTCTGTCTTCCAGTATGACCCAGAAACAGAACAGCTAAGTCTCCAAGATTCTGGCCCATTTTTTATTTGTAACGAGATTTTGCAATGGCAAGATTCAACCAGACAAGAAGAGTGACAAACTTTTGTAAAATCCAATCTCTCGTTCATGAGTTCACTGATACCTATGCTAAATGTTACAATCCAGCTGTTTGTTGTCACTGTGCTTTCCAATGGGGAGTTATTTCTGAGTAATGAGGGACGTTCAAAAGTTTCTGCACTTTTTATTTTACAACTCTCTTTTACTGGTGATTACAAAAACAAAATCATTTTTCTACATAATCACCCTGCTTTTTCAACACATTTTTCCTAGCATTCTACCATTCTACCAAGACTTTGATCGCGCATGTAGTCACTGATGCATTACATTGAAATCTTGTCTCCTAGAGCTTCTTTAAGAAGTCCAAAAAGGTGAAAATCAGATGGCACCCAATCTGGATGTTCCATGACTTCTCACTTCAGTTTCCTAAGGGTTTCCAACATGCAGGGTGCAGTATGGGCACTGATATTATTGTGCAACAGGACACTCTCTGACAGTCTCCCTCTTAGAGCAGATTGCAGGCTTCAGCCCTCTCTGAAGCATGTCACAACAGGTTCCACATAGGTCTCAAGAACAGGCCCTTGAGAATCCCAGATGGTCAACATCAACTTACATGCCGATGGTTGCATCTTGAATTTCTTTGCGACAGGAGATTATGGATGATTCCATTGCATGCTCTTCAGCTTTGTTTCTGGTTGATAGTTGAAAACCCAGGTTTCATCACCTGTGATGATGTGTTACAGAAAGTTGTCACCTTCTTTGCGATAATGAGCCAAGTGGTGGGAACAAATGTGTAAGTGCATGCGCTTATGCTCATCCCTCAGTTCCTTACATACCCGCCTAGTGTACGCTTTATGGAACTGAAGGTTATTATGCACCACATAGTAGGCAGACCCAATGCTGATATTCAGTCGTTTTGTAATTTTGTCAACCGTCACTCTTCTGTTTTGAAGAATCTGTTCCATAGCTCTTTCTTCATTCTGTGTGGCTGTGGTTGGACGGCCCGAGCACTTGGCATGAATCACACTCAGATGGCTACTTTTAGACTTCAGTCCACTCATACAGAATTCAGAGAGAGAGAGCATTGGCTCCATACTGAGCACACATGCTGATGAATCTGTCCACAAAGACCACTTCACAGCAACTCTCAACAGGCTTTCCTTGCCAGCTAGTCACAACACCCTACAATACCCGTCCCCCTCTTTTCAAATACATAAAAGTGCAGAAACGTTTTGAAGATTCCTCATACATTCTTTACAATCATTATCACTTTGGTATGTGTACAAATTTTGCAAAGTGACCATTTTTTACATAAAATGCAAATCACAGAGGGCACAGTACATTACTTCCAAGTGACACAGCTACAATTCTGAAATCAACAGCAAATTACTCTGCAGATTCTATTACAAGCAGAGGAATTTTGTCCTGACTGGAAACTGGAGCAGTGTTGTCTTGCATGCAGCCTGAAAACTATCTCATTGCACCTTAGAATTCAGCAGTGAGTTTTCTTTCATATACTTCTGCTAAAATTGTTTAGTATGATTAGTTCCAAGGGTAATGTAAGACCTCTGAGGATAAAAGAACAAAACAAGGGACAAGACAGAACTGCCGATGGCATAGACACAAAGCAACGACTGGAATGAAATCGACTGGCGACTGATTATCCAGGAAAATAATGCACTAAACGCCTTGAATATGTACATAAGTTATACAGTTCATTTATCATTCAGTACAATGGTTACGGGAAGCATGGAGGAGAGGCTGATATTACAGGGTGAGGGATCAATAAAACTCCACTCACACAAACAGAACTGCAGCAAAGCTCGACACATTTTCCCATGTTTATTTTTATCGGAACCTCTTTGCTCTGTACTGACTAGTACAATATTATTACAAAAATTGGCAGTGATATATCTGGTCTAAAAATGCACTGGAATGATATCTTGCAGTTCATACGTATATCCACATGCAGTTCTAAAAAACATTTTTCTGAGCATATCTGGTTCCATTGCAGCCATGTATGTACAGTTTACAATGTTACAAATTTCATACAGCATTTTAAATGCAATTTTGCCCCCCACACACACACACACGCACGCGCGCGCACATACATAATCCAGAATTTTTTTTTTAAACTATTTCATATTCAATCCCTGTAAAAATGCCTTTTTTTTTTTTGTTTCAAGCAGTACCATTGTCACCCTGAAAAGCTTTATTTTCAGTCTTATTTGATAAGTTTTCTGTAATACAGTCTGTCGTAGAAGGCATACTATACTGGCAGTTCACCTCAAGAACACCTGTCATACCAGTAATTCAATACAACTGGGAGAAAGCAACTACTATTCTCAATCTGTCACCAGCTCATTATATGCTAGGCACAGTGCTGCCACTCACACACTACCTTACACTGGACTGCTACAGGAGACATACTGTACATGACACCTTAAATGTACACACACACACACACACACACACACACACAGAGCAACAAATAAATATATACATTTATGAAGTTGATGCCACACCAGGTATGCCTGGATTCAAACAATCTATATTATGGGATGAGTAGCAACATCTGGTGAAGCATCATTAAACCCATGCACAGCAAGCCAGTGCCCTCTCATCATCTAGATCTTGTTCTCCAAATCAACACATACCACCATCTCTGTACGCATTCATATTGTCACACTGCTACAAGAATGGTCTGATAGGCCACTAGGCAACATCATGGCCCTCCTGAATACACACCACATCAGTAACATGATAAGAAGCAGACAGACCTCCTCCCAATATATTGTACATCAATAAACAATGGCTGCAGACTGGGGCAGTGATATTTTAGCATTGGCAGTAATATAATTATGTACAATACTTCACGAATGTTCAGGACTGGGAATTTTGGCATGACCTGACGCACACACAGTGATGGCAGTACCAACCTCTGAAATAAATAAGACAGGAAGAACCAACACAATAAGACAACATACTGGCACATGTAAGGGTACTGCACTGCCCCACAGTGGCTTCCAATTGATCAGAGATTACACAATAAAACGATTACAAAATCTGAATTAAAACCTTTAAAATCCTATCTTTTAAGACACAGTCACTCTACAGCTACACCCCCACCCTCAATTTGTACATCAGAGCAGAATAACAAACATGACATGTGAAGAGACAGAATTCCCAGTCCCAACAAGCAATTAACAATGAATCAGTCAGGTGGGGAAAACGTAAGTCACTGTCTTAGGAAGTGTGCCTCTTACAGGGTTCATTGATTGGAAGATGTAGCCATGGCACAAATGGTTGTAAATGAGTGCAGTCTTGAAGCTGTCTCCATCTACCAGGTAACTGTGAACCAATTTCTTTGCAATGACAATGATCAGACTGACGCCCCAATGAAAGAAAATACTTGTAGATTTATTGTTATGTGGGAGGGCCTTCCCACTCGATTAGATACTGAACTTTCCCTGTTGGAGTTGTTCTCTTTGCCCGAACACCAAACTTTTCTCCTGCAGCGATCCTATTTGCTGCACCAAAGTATATGTTTACTGATGACTTAAGATCATCAAGAGAGATTTCTACTGGATTCTGCTTGACTGGGGAGGATTTTGCTGAAGAGGGCTGAGGTACCATCTTCCTTTCATTTCCCTTGATGCTGTCTTGCCTCTGAGTTGCTCTAAGACGTCGTCCATTCAGAACATAGTCAACACAGCTGCCCACCTGGCCCCCACTTGTACTTGCACTACTCGATGGGCCACTGTTATACATGCTACGCAATGAACGAACAGATGTACTGGCACCTGACCACACGTCTCCAGGCTTCTCAGGGCGGCCAGGGATAAATGTAGCGCTTTTACTGGCCGTCCCTGTGTTTGTTGTCCCATTTGTTGAACTGCCCCTATTGCGTCGATGTCTCCTCCGCTTGACTTCACCATTACGGTCAATCCGGATATCCTTCTCACTTAGCTGCCGCTTGGCAGGTCGGGGTGGAACAGGATGTGTGAGAACAGGAGTCAAGGGTAGTGGAAGCGTAATTGGGCTTGTATTTAGAATACTGGGAGCCGGAGCAGTATTAAACAAGCTGGCAGTCACATTCAACCCATTAGGTGCCGACAAGAGCTCCGTTAAACTACGAAACGGATTATTCTTACCTTCAAAATCCTTGGGAGGAGGAATGAAAGAGTCGAGAGTGCCCCGAGAAGAGGTTTCATCCCCACTTGTGTCACCAGGAGTGGTAGGAGGTGGGAAGGGGACGGAATTGGATGAGGGGAGAGCTGGCGTAGCAGACCGTCCAGGTCCTGCAATAACTGGAACAGCAATACTTGGCATTACTGGCTGCGGCGTATCAGGTGCAGATGAGGACGGAGGTGTTGGTGGCAGATCTTGGGTACTCTTCTGGCTCTGCAATGTAATTGGGATACTGAATTTGTTGGCAAGAAAATTCAAGGTAGGGTTAATGTAAACTGGCATAGTAAAGACCATTATGTGACATTCAGCAAGAATTACACAACAGTTCTCATGGTTAATTCCAAACAGAGTTCTTTTGAAAAGTACCAAGGCAGTAGACACCTTTTGTAAGAAGCTCACAGAGTTGAATTACCATACTTCAGACTAATACGAGCTACATGTTAGGGGTTCTCAAACTTAACACTGCGACCCTCAAGTTTCTGCAGTTGGTGAAAAGTGCAGTGTTCCACATTGTTGCAAGTCTCCATCACACAGTAACAGTACAAACCTAAATTACTTTAAAACCTCTAAGAGTATTGTGCAGTCATGCAAAGTGCAGAATTTTTCACCATATGCTGCTTCATTTTCCAAAAGCTTGCCGACTTACAAAAACTGTGCGTGCATAAAACTGTATTTTAATGGTTACCAATGAAATGGTTTAATGAGACGCACGAGAAGAATGAAATTTAAAATTGTACCTCGAGAGAAAATTCAAATTACTACTTGCAATGATGAAGCATAAAAACACTTATGCCACAATAACATATTGCCTGCTGCATTTTCTTTCTGTGGACCTAACTTAAAAGAATTTCAAAGTGTATGCAAAGTTGGCAGTTTATTACTTTCCAGACAGTGTGGTCTTTTGGCATGTGACAGCATGGTGTCTGGTACAAAGTTACTGATGTTTGCAAGGCACAAACTGCCTGAAGTAATCCAAATAGGGGATGTGGCTGAATATAAAGATGGGAGAAAGGAAATAAAGTCACAGAGGATGGGAACAAAAGGAGTGCTGTATGACAGACCAAAGGGAAGTTACAAACACCAGTAACTGCCTTTCCCTGTACATGATTCTGACTGGTTACTCCTATCCTCTGAATCTCAAGACAGAAGCAGTATGTGCCTTCTAACACACCTTGCACCACTTGGGAAGTACTGAGATTTTGAACTCTGGCCATCATCTAATAATCTAAACAACAATCTCTCAGGAACCGAATCCGTTTCCATCCTCAGGCGAAAGGAACTAAGCACTCTGTGGGATTCATTAGAAGGAGCAGATCTCAGTCAATGGATTAAATGCTGGAACTCTTTAGCAGTGGTAATTTAACACTAAAATTAACCGACTCTGGATCATTGGAGCTTAACGTTAAACAAGGGAAAAAATTAAAAAATCAAGGACCATCAAATGAGGGTGTTCCCGTACTCAGTTTACTACAGAGCCTCATTACACATATAATTACAGAGCATCAGCATTTCTGTGGTTTCCCAGATAAAGTGGGGAGCAGATTCTCCCTTAAAGTGTACACACATACTTACAGTTGCTATTGCATTTTTGAGCAGTTTCCGGGCCTTGCGAACAGTGAATTCCTTGGCTTGGCCATCTGCCTGTTGACGCTTGTACCGCCTCCTTTTCAGCAAATGCTCTTTGTGGGATGAATTATTCGCTATGGATCTGAACCTACGTCGAAGCAGTGCTTGCTGCATGCTCAGTCGACTGGCTGGGGGATATGCAGTTGACTTCTTCACAAAGCCACCACTGCAGTACTCGGAGCTCTTGATGCACACCTGGCCACATTGAGCAGTGTTATAAGTGAATAGGCAGGATAGAAAGTAATAAATGATGGGAAGCTGGCTGCACACTTGGCTGCTGACTTGTGCTAAGTTCTCTTCACAAGAGAATGCATGCTTTATACTGGGAAGTGACGTAAAATGGTTCAAGATAAGAGTAAAAACTGACGGCCATAGTCTAGTGACAAGCAGAACACTCTGCAGTTTTCTTCTGTTACACACAAAGGGGCAGAATGAGGCCAAATACCAGAAAGTGGACAGATCTTTGCAACATCAGTCAGTGTACCTTGTCGCCTGTGATGGGAATGCTGTTTGGCCGACTACTGATCTTCAACAGCTTAAGTCCCATTGGAGGGTCTGACAACCCATTGCTGCGGTTGTGGCTCTCGAGCATCAGTCCCATGGAGGATGACACACTGCCCATCATACTAGGATCCACAGCACTCTTCATGACACTCGAGTGGCCATTTAGAACGCCATCAGTGCGGAAACTTTTACCAAGCTGACACTTGCCTGATACAAGTGAACTAGAAAAGAAGAGAGAACAAACTTCACCAAAACAAGTGCACTTTCTCTACGAAGAGATAACAGGCCCACAGAATTTAACAGCCCCCTTCTGTGCCATTACTTCTCCAGCCAACTGAAAATAACATGCCAATAGGTTATTACAGATGAACTTTTCTTCAGAAGCAGTAAAATATACAAGCTAATATTGCATTGTGGAAATAGAAGATAAACATGGCAATTCAAAAGACACACCTCAGTGAGGGTGGCAGGAATTTTAGTCGCTTATTCCCGAACCACAACTCCTTGAGCAATGCATCACTCACTGGGCGGACACTGGGCAAGCTAAAGGATGGAGCATGAGGGGGCAGCCGTACACGCAGGCCCCAGATTGTGGTGCGCTTCTTTATCTCCCTGCCACATTTGAACCTGCAATCCGACACAGAGAGGTATGGGTAAGAAGACTTGCAATGGAATGAGGAAGTGATGTACAACACGGTACGGGGTCTGAATTGTTCAATGGCCATCTGCAGGGGAAAGTGCCAACATTAGACACTCACAACGACAAATAACAAACTGGAGTACCTTCTGGATTCAAGCTCTTATGCCAAAATGTTTCAATTATTGAAGTGGCAAAGGATATGTGATGCCAACAGCTCTTTGCTCTTTCAGAACAGAGACCACAACTCACCTATTCCTGTTGTTCGTAAGAACGGACAAGATGTTCTCCCGTCTCTCATCCAAGCTAACATCTAGGATCTGGAACAACAACATCAGCTGCTGTAATTCAAACTCCAAAACATACGAACACTTCACCTTTCAAATTACGTCTAAATAAAATTAGTAACAAATGTGGTGAGGGGGCAAAAATCTCACACTCAACACAAACTCAAAGATCAAGTCTGTTGTCTGGCCACTAAATTACAGTGAATATACAACTGGAATTATACTGCAATGTTTGACAATGAGATTGCAATAAATAATGTTAGAATGCCGGCACACAAGAACATTCTTTGTCCCATTCCTTTAACTCATCCCAGGGCCTCTGATACCAAGAACCTAACTGTTCTGTAAAGTAAAAAATTTTAAATTAAATTTCCTTAGTGGGGGGTGGAGTCCGACTGGGTCCACTCAGCATGGCGGCCACTGATTGGCCTACTGTAGCCTGTCCCAGGTGATTATGATGATGGAGAATTTGGTGTAATTAAGATTGGCGGGGAAACTGAAGTACTTGGAGAAAACCCGCCCCAGCGCCACTTTGTCCGCCACAAATCCCACTTGACCAGACCTGGGATCAAACATAGGCTGCCATGCCATGGTGGGAATTCAAACAAAGTAAGTAAAGGTATACTGGTAACAGGCCATTGAGGCCAATAGGGTTGTGACATGTTGAGGTTCCCACATATTCTAGATCGGCTCACAGATGACGGTAAGGCTCTCAGCCTTATGCGCTGGCTGCCCTTTACACCCAAGAATATTACAAGAATATTGCTGGTACTCATTTCTGGAAGGATTAGGTCAATTGAAAAAATCCACTTCATCAAAATTCAATCCCGTGACCTTCGGCTCGTAGCATAGAGCCTCAACCAACTACGTTACCACGTACATGGAGTTTGAAATATTAAGAGCAAACTTGTAGCAGACACGGAAGTTCTGTGAATAAGCTTTTGACAGTCTGCAAAGATAGTGTGGCCACCAGACCCACTGCTAGACAATGGCAGTGAAACAAACTGTTCTAGGCCAAATTAACAATGTCATTCGACCAGGAGTATGCATTTCTGTACAAGTGCAAATTTCATGTTAAAATTATGGCTGTTTGGGATGTGACGCTATGCAGTCCGGTATACCGTATCAAACCTCTGGAAGAACATACTACTTCCCTCTTCAGGGTAGAAAACTGACAATGTAGGCAATGTTCCCTCTACAAGTACGTATCATCCTATCAGCCCGCATGGTCTCATAACCCACAAAACCACAATACTCTGCTGAGGGAGTACCACCACACAGTGATCGTCATTATGTCACCATTATGAAGTCACTCGTTTGTGTTTTAAACACATGGCACAAACCAAAATCATCATACTGGAGATTGTACTGAATTTTCTTTCCATGAGGTTGCCTAGTCAAGGTATGACATATCATCAGAGAATATGAATCTTCACCATGAAAACCTCAAATCTCTCAAACTAACACCATCTCCACATGGTTTAGGCAGCAATCAAGGTGAAAATTTCACTACAATGTACCTTTGGTGGTAGCTGAAAGGCGTGCCAATTGTCATTCACGTACGGAATGATAACTGTGTCCAAATCATAGTACTTCTTAGTATTGAAGATGGTCAGATTGAATAGAGCCAGATGCACTATGTCAACCCACTTCATTTCCAGACGACGAACAAACTCCTTTCCGTAATTACACAGGGAACATACAAATACATAAAACCTGCAAACACACAATAATGCCTTTTGCTCATCAACATCATTTTATTTCTGATATTTCTAAGTAGTTCACAGCATCAAAAACACTTCTTCGGTACATCCAAAAGGGTTTACAGATTTGTATATATTTACAGGAATTGCACTAATACTCATCAAATCAACTGCAACAATAGTGATATTTATGGTTCATTTAATGACGGTTTTCAGTGATTCTGATTACAGATCAGGATGATCAGTTAACAATGAAATGGAAGGGACATGAAGGGGAGTGTTTGTAACCTAATTTGAGGTACCAACCCAGTATCTGCCTGGAGAACCTGAGGAAAACCAACAAAAATTATCATGGTAATCAACAGTTCCAGCAGACTCAAATTATGCATGTCCTGAATATAAATCAAAATCATTATCACTTCAGCCAATGTGCTTGGTGCATGATATTTCTACAGATATTGTGCAACATATCTCTTATTTGCACTTTATACTTTATTACAACAGCAACTTCCTCTACCCACTGCCTGCTAATGCACAAATGCATGCAGCACGCATAGACCTACTTCACACTGACACTCTGAGCCCTGCCTTTCTGATGTGTACACTGTCCTGGTACGTGGCCAATCTAAACCACATGAAGAAAATTCCTACCGTCAGCTTTACACATACAACATGAAAATTTTAAAAATAATAACAGATTAATATCTATTCTATATATATGTCAAACCTTTAAACGGTAAAATATTGTGGTGTGTTGCTAGGCAACAAGCGCAAAATAAGCAACTATACAACAGTGGCAATCACATGGGAACCCAACAGACATGAATGCAACAACTGCAAAGGAACAGAGAAACAGGGTTTTCTGTGCACTCAGTGCCAAGGTCTTATATGCAGGACACATTAGTGAGGAGTTAGATAACCTCTGGGGTTCTGCCATTGCGAGCTGTTGCTGTTAGAAGCTGGTAGTTGAGGCACGGGGACAGTTTGGCAACCCAGAGGAAGGGGACATCCACCATTGGAAGCTGTTACCAAGCAACGGCTAGTGAGGGGTCTAACAGACTGCGAAGAACTAGTGCATCCTGCAATGATTTGTGAAGTGTAGTTACAAGTTGTAAAAGTTCAATGAATCCAATCACTGATCCAAACCCTGTCTACAGTTACTCAATCACGTGCTGATATCATCCCCAAAATAAGAAAAACTAAATAAACAACTAAAAAGTTAGAAAAAACTTCTTTAGCACCATTTCGTTTTACGTGGGATGACCGACGCAGTCTTGTTCCTCCTTTCCGAGGAGCAGACGCTAATCACAACAGCCAAGCATACTGTTAGTTCCTTGGAACTCTAGCCATGGTAGAGGGGTTATGCCATCTCTCGCGGAGCTGGGGGAGCAGTCATATCAGCTTACGTCAGTGTGGGTACTACCAGTTTGGAATGTAGCGTCTTGGAGTGTGGTTAGGTGTATAGTACTACACCTGGTCTCCGTAGGCAATGTTATCCACTCAGTGAGTAGCTCTGAACGTCACCATAGCAAGCATATAGTTTCATGTGCTCCACAACAGTGTTTACCTTCCTCCACGGCTAAGGTTACGAGGCACTGACTATACATGGCATTCAATGCTGAAGGCAGTTACTGAGCTGTCTGCATATAGAACATTCAACATATTATTATTGTTTTACTGCAATTGGGTGTTCACCCTGTGGCACCACAAATTATTCCTTCTTTCTTAAAAAAAGACTGTTCATATCGCTCTTCCACTGAAAGAGGTACACACAGAAACAATAATGTGAAATGATTTGACACCTAGCGACATCTTCACTTACTAAAAGAGCTACAGCATTCATCTGCGCAGTTCACCCTGTCATATGATGAACACTGACTTTTGCAGGAATATTAAATTAAGGGGATGTTATCAGGCCAGTACCTGTCACCACAGTACAGAGGATACTGCAAGCACTTGATACATTTCTCGTGGAACCACTGCCTGCAGCGGCCACACTGCAGCATCTGCATGAACCAGTCTCCATCCTTCCCACAGTAGCAGTACCGTTGTTCAATGTTGCTGCGGTGGCTCTGGTCCCATGACAGCTCATCAGGCTGCAACAGCAAGCTGTCATGACAAACTCCTCTCCATGACATACAAGTTATCTTGGATGAACTGCATTCCCAACTTACATCATAAGGTAACTTGTTCTTCTCGATCTGCACGCTAGGGGGCTCTGGCCGGGGGCCACACATCTTGCGAATGCTCTCTTTTCTGGCTACCTTGCTCTCCCTGCCCTTGCCCGGCATGCTGTCCAAGCAGCGCTTACATACCCAATGTGCTTCTGGTTTCGTGCTCTCTTTTGATATATGGGGCTGGAAAGCAAGAAATAAAACACACAGGTCACATCTGAAGCCATCACAAAGCAAGGAGCATGAGCCAGTACACAATCCCACGGAAATGTGTAAAGGGGGAAGTTTGTGCCCTCTTTCGTTAGAAAGAAACTGCAGCAATAGTTCTGATAACACTGAAATTGATGCCTTTTATACCACAGTTTGAATCACACACAACTTTCTCCCAGGCATTAATTACCAACAGAGCATGTTGCAAACAAATCAAAATGTCCAAAACAGATGATTGTATCAAGTATATGCCATTCAGACCCAGCATGCAGGAATACATAATAAACATGCAGAGATTATTCCCCTTCTACAGCTGACCATTAAAGTTTTGATTGTGATATATCATAATTACTTGTTTTATTCAAGCCTCTGCATAAATCACTCACCCTCTATTTATGTTGGAAAATAAAAACACATTAATCCATAAATATTTCACACATTCCATTTAATGCACTGAAGATTCCAACGACTTGATGAATTCAACTTCTGACCGCATTTCAAAATACTTAATGGTTAGACAAGGTCTGACAACAAAGTTCACGAACTCACCACCATGCTTGCCGTGGCAGCAGTGGACAGAAACCTCAGTATGGTTTGATAATGTTGGCATATCACCGTTTCACAGCTGTGTTGTTGTTGATCTGAGGCAGTCTCTTTCTGAGTGGTGTCTACTATTGTCTGAGTGTGTTTCGGTGTGCTGTCACGAGAATGTCAGTATGAACATTAAATTTCTTGTTAAAGTTGGCAAGAGTGGAAGCGAAATCGGAGAGGTGTTAGTGCAAGTTCATGTGGATAATGATATGAAGAAGACAGCAGTTTACAAGTGGGTGACATGTCTTTCTGAGGGAAGAGAAAGTGTCACTGACGAAGAGAGATCAGGATGGCAAGCAACAAGCAGAACTGAAAAGCTGCAAAAGTTGATCAAATTGTACATGAAAATTGTTGGCTCATTGTCAGGAGCTTAACACAGTGAGCAAACATCAACAGAGGAGGCACAATAGATCACTGTGGTCGCGGTGCAAGGGCCAAGAAGGCCCACCCCTTATACATTCAAACATCGACAGAGAAACAGGAAAATATTAACTGAAGATCTTGACATGAGGAAGATGAGTGCAAAAATGGTCCCAAAGGACATGCTCACACGGCAGTGTCTGTGAGGGAGTTTTTAGCTAGTAAACAAATAACTGTGCTGGAACACACTCCCTATTCAGCGGATCTAGACCCAATGACTTCTTTTTGTTCCCGAAGATAAAGGAAATAACTTAAAGGAAGACATTTTGATGACACTGATGACATCAGGAGTTAATACAACAGGAGCTCTGAAGGCCATTCTACAACACCAGTTCCAAAATTGTTTTGAACGGTGGACTAGGCGCTGGCATCGGTGCATAGCTTCACAGGGGGAGTACTTTGAAGGCGACCACAGTGATATCCAGCAATGAGGTATGTAGCACTTTTACCGCAATGAGTTCGCAAACTTTGTTGTCAGACCATGTACGAGTATACCCATAGGAACAAGATCCACCAGATGCCCAAAGTTACACTGGAAGGATCAACTTATTTACAGAGGAACAGAATGGGATGTAAGGTCCAAACCTTGAGTTTTGTGGCTGCGATAATGATGATTTCACTGACAAAAAATTAAACACACCATTTGACACATTCAGTGTTTGTGGGCTAAGCTCTGAAACTTTGCACTAATTATTATGTGGTATATTATAAAAAAATAGAAGTTCTAGGAAGAACTAATTGCCTACCACGTAAAAAACAAAACCTCCAACAATTCCTCATTGCCATGGGAATGTGTTTACTGAGCCACTGCCTAGCAATGACATGAGGATACACAGACAGACCCACAGACTCTCCTTAGATACAATGCAGACTTCGCAGAAAATGATACATCCAACAATTCTTCTTCTGTTGCATGTACTCGATTCGTTGCCATGGGAATGTGTTTACCGAGCCATTTCCTAGCAACAATGGGGAGGGACACATACAGACACACAGACTGATGGGAGGGATTTGTGAAGTGTGCTGTTGAGATGAGCTCAGGTGCTATGATATTGTGACACACAGACCCACTGCTAGGCAATGACGTAGTAAACACAATCCACAGTAACGAATACAAATAACAGCGGATATTCATTCTGTGTGGTCCAACCTGCAGAGTGCATGAATTATGATAGTAAATACAGTATGGCACAGGGGTAAATATATGTGTATACACTTACCTGGTGACACAAATGGTGATATCCACGACTGCACTTGTCACAGACAATGATCTCGTTGTCTGTCTTTGGCTGAGACTTCTTGCAGATGACACACAGCAGATCAGACTCCGGCAGTGTCAGCTTGGTGAGATCTTTAAATGAGGACCAACTATCTGTATCATCCCCGAACTTAATCAAGCACTGCTCCGTGACCAGGTCCACCTGAAACAGAAATGCCTACATTTGAACATCAGACTTGAAAACCTCTAAGTTACAACACTTCCCATACCGTGACCACTTAAGACACATATTGTTATAAAATGAACATAACAAAATCATATTCTTCAGCATCTCTCATAAACTAAAAATGTCTGATTATTATATCATCACAACTCTTGCATCAAGCAACACCCTACATGAAAACAAAGCACAAAAATGTAAACATATATCACCACTGTTAACTTTATATAGGGAACAACTGAAGCAGTTCCTTAATCACAAAAACCTTACACTTGACGATGGTCAGTTAGGCCAAAACATGCAGTGTCAATAAAGAAAAATGAGTGAATAGTAACAAATGTTGCATGTAGATGGCATAAAAGCAAAATGCAAAGTCAGATCTGTGCAGTGCAACAGGATGCTGCAATATAACATTATGAACTGAAAGACATTTCAATCTTTCAGTTTGTATTTGAAAGAAATTTTTTTTTCAGTCCAATGCAATGTGACGTGACTGTACATCAAACTGCATGCAGTAACACTCTAAACTAGTCACTCCCCTTCCACTCCTGCCTATGGGCATTACGAGGGAGGGCATGCCACAGCAAACGACCATTCATGTGTCATGAGGGCTCTGGGCTCACCTCTACTATAGTTCCTAAGTAGAATTGTCCATCCTTGCGTTGGAGCACGTCCTCCCCTTCGCTGAACCCACTCCGTTCTTTGGTGGTGCTATCTGGTGCAGCAGGACTTTCCTCTGTTGATTCCTGCACCACAAGATAAACATTAGCTAAGCATGCAGTCACTGCTGCATGACTTAGAGCAAAGCACACAACTGCACTTACCTTCTTCCCTGCACCCTGCATGGACATCGTAGATGGGACTCGTGCCACCCGGCTCCACAGCCACACAAAGAGATTCACGCTGCACCCCTCCAATCCAGGCTCAATCAAGGGCTGATTGGCCTCAAATCTGAAGTAACATAACAGTTCACAGCACACTGAACTAGCAATTCACAAGACATCTTGAGGGCAGAAGTGATCCCTGAAGATGAAACCTGTAGGTTCCTCTGAAACTCACTAGAACCAATCCATGAGACTACATGGCATCATAGTTAAGTCCATTATTTACTACTGCTGACTGAATAAAATATATTAGAATTATTGTCATCAGTAGTAAATGTGTCAAACTGTAACTGCAAGCACTTAGTGTAATTCTCTGCAATGACTAAAAATGAAAGTGAAAAACCCACAACTGACCAGTGCTCCAACTGCCCCTCAAATTGTATACTACCTTAGTTTTAATACGCCTATCCAAGAATCTTCTGCCTACAGCAGTCAAGAAATTCTGACGCCTTCCTTTTTTTTTTTTTTTGTTGCTGCTGGACATTAAACAAGTCCAGACAGAAAAGTGATTACTGTGCTCCAAGCAGTTTGGAACATACTGCTTGGAGCACAGTAATCACTCCACCTCCACATATCTCTGCAGAACCAAGTCTGTTAAGCATTTAATTTCACTAGAAATACAAACAGGTGCAAATGTTTGCAGAAACTAACTTGATGTTCTGATAGGCGGGATGGGCCTTACCATTGTTACCTCTGAATTAGCCTTCCAACAGATGTTCTTGGCTATATTCTGCATATATTTATCCACCACTAACATAAGGGATGTGAATACTACAATTGTTGTCATCTGGGATGTGATATCATGTAGTCTGTCATATGACTACCAATATTTCAAACAAAACATACTGCCTTTACCTTCAGGTAGCTATCTGACACACTGCTAATGATCTACCAAACAACATCACATCACATCCTTAATTTCTTCACCATCTCTCCAAGAAATACATCCAGTTCAGCATAACACACTGATTCGATTACACTAAAAATAAACTCAACATCGCGTAACCACCATATTTTGTATTCCTTTGGTGGAGTTGTGATTTGGGGACCCCTGGCTGTGATGATACAACCCTCAATTTGAATCAAAGACTGAAGATCTTCACTCTCCACTTTATCGTCACTGAAGGGTGCAAACGTGGCCAGGAACACTGTGACAGTGGAATACAGCAGGCAACATGCCTAGCCAACACACACAACAGCCATTGCTGTTTGGAAGCAGACAGCACTGATATCACTCTTGTCCAGATTGGTGTCCTACTACTTCAACATTTTCATTCAATATACATTTCAATTACCTTGTTACCTTGGCATCACAGCTCTTGAAATTAACATAAATATAATACAATTCACTCAGGCACATTGCTTCATTTTAAATCAATCTCATCACAATTTTAAATGTCTTCATTTCCAGTGCTGCTTCCCATCCTCAACATGCTACCCACCCTAACATCTTGTTTTCCCACTGGGCAGACTTCAAAGGCTGCAGGACATTAACCCCTTTATCCTGCAGCAGAACTCCATCCCATGCCACTTTGCAAGGCCTATATACCATGTTTAGATGAAATGCCCTGTCACACAATCATCCCCCACACAAATTACAACACTCACAGTAAGTCTGCAATTATATAACATGCTGTATGTTGATTTTAGTCACTTTCAGAACCATATGGCACACAGCAGCTGATAATTTTCCATTCCCAAGAATGCCAGTTGCTGAGAGACTTCACTTCAGAGAAACTGAAACCTGACAGGAACGTCTTTGAGCAGCATAAAGCCATTTTATCTTGGTCTGAAATACTGGCCAACCTACTGCATGTGTCAAATTTTGTACCCCTTCGCCAAAATACCATGCATTATTTTGAAAAGGTGTGGGATTTGAGACAGGAATGTGAATGGTCCCATGTGCATCATGGCAAGTGTGTGTCTGTGGAGGTCCATGCATCCCACTTCAAAGTGTGACACATGAACATCATAAACAATAATTTTCACCCACATAACAACACCCTCACTCACTTCTCCTCTGTTAATAATCAATTCCACATGTTCATGATATGAAGAAGCAGGCAAACAAAACCAAATGGCATCCACTGTAGATAATTAGACAAAGTGGCTAGGACACACATGTGGCAAAGCCTGCCACACCTTCACCTCACTCACTTGCTAACAGAATGTTCTTAAAAAATGTGTGGAGCCATTCATATTCAAGACAGACTTGATGATATTAATGCCTGAACAACCAGAATAATTAATTTAACAAAATGAATTGGCATTCTAACAACACTGATTTTGCCTTCCACAAAACTTAAAACAGCAATAACATTTCACATGGTCTTTTCTACACGCAAACATTATTCCAGAAGTTACTACCAAGCACACAATAAATCTGACCTCAAATACTCAGAACACGTGACCTCTAAGCTCTGGGAACATGATGGCAAAACAGACACACAACCCACTTGCAATTTCTTTCTACTCGTGCTGGTGCCTATTATGATGCTGACTGTAACATCCTACACTTTAAGGAAATATTTGATTTGCATCAAAACTGTGAAATATTTCAACATTACATGATACCTAATAAACTAATTAAGATATTCACTGCACTGACAAGCTGGGAATAAAATCTCACACAAAGAGTTTGTACTGTAATCTGCCAACTGGAGGAGGTGCACAACACTAATGAAATGTAAACAAGAAGCTATTAAAAGAAGTACAAACATGATTGAAATCATGGGGCATTCAGTCTTGGTTCTTCTGCATAAATTCAATAGCCTTGCATCTCCATTCGACTTTGCTGTTCAGAAACGAATGGCAATACACCAAAAGGCTTCAACTCTTCCCAACAATAAAAAAAACACATATAGCTTATAATCCTGTACAACTGTGTATCTAAATCCACCATACAGAGCACAATTTTCAGATATTATGTACACATTTAGAAGCACTCAGGCTGCACAAAAATAGCAATTTCCAAACAGAAAATAAAACCTAACAGAAACAAACTGGATTCCATGTAGCTACGACCTGAAGATTTTAACATATTTAATATGTGCTGTATATGCAAACACAACACAAAGCATATTATAAGAAAACCGCTGAATTGTAAAGTCTGTAAACTAAGGCACTAATTTTCGAATGTAGACTAGTTCCTTAATTTCAGAAAATACATGGTCTATTTAACATCCGATGAAGAGAAGGGCATTGCAAAAATACAGTCTCCGTACATCCTCAATATTATGTGTAAAATATCTACTTTACTATTATTTCTAAGACTACTTCGGTATTAAAAATATTTACGTATGTGAAAATGTTGCAAGGCCTACATTCTTCTCTTCAACTTGGTTTTCAGTCGCCAAAAACAAACTCCGCTCCTTACGAGATATTTGAATTAAAATAAAACTCTTGTACCCTTCCAAAGTGAAATGATTTTCTGAAGATCACGCGGTGTTCTCGTAATTACATTTTGACTGTATCGAAAATTAATTACCCTTAATCAATGAGATTCATCCACACAGGTTCCTTTCTTCTTCATTATTGAATGTCAGCCATATTAGGCATAAAAAACTGAGTGCACGAGCGCGACGCGCGGCAAAACGAACTTTTAAGTTTCTGTGCTAATACAATATTTAAGGTTAAATTATCCTCACATATGCATTCTAAAACATTATTAAAAGATTCATAGAAGTATTTCACACGCCAAGAGAACCAATTTCTGCCAAATAAATACATACAAAGGGGCTAAATGAGGAGTAAATTCAAAACTTGAAATGCACCATCTTGAAGGAGATGTCTTACTACGAACGTCAATTGACAACCACTTGGTTGGCATTCAAAATTTCATACGTAGAACATAATCTAGATGCAACAAAAACAATGAAATATTCATATTAAATATCATTTATTTCCACGTTTCTACTGCAGATATAATTAATTCACGTCGTCTTCAGTAATGAGCCTTACTGAACTTCCGGAATTGAACGTCGTTTGTCTGGTAACGCAATGTGTTAATCGACTGCACTTAGCAGGTCGGTACCAACATAAAAATGTAATTACGTTACCATGTATAAAAGGTATGCGATTGTCCATTCACCTACCACTGCTTTAAATTATATTTATGGAATGTGGTTCCACTTCAACAAGCTTTCTGGCACACTACAAAAAAAAAATTAAAAATTCAAATGAAACTAACACCAAGGCATTGATCCATCTCCACTCCCATACTCAATTACTTGGGGCACCATTTTTCCACCATCACACTGTGTGACTTTTAAATACATAAAGCAATGTAATACCAGATTTTGGCCAGAACTGGAACCACCTCATTTTCACGCCTGACCCTTTGAATTGTCTCAATAATCATAAACTCAAAATATTTTATTACATGTTCATATACACAGATAGCGTAACAATTATCTAACATTGTTTTATACTGCTCAACAACATTCAGTTACTGTAGAAAATTCAGTGAAAATACACACTTTTCTGATACTGTGGAAATGTTAGTTCAAGGGCTTATTATAAACAGCAATAACATATTACTTTAAATTCAAAAGGTATATGACCATATTCTTAATTGAAGCCTTCACATCTTTCTTGCTAGTGCACTGATTTAGAATGTTCTTGATTGAAGCATCTGAAATCACCACAACAAATCACACCTATTCTTGAAGTGGGGCAAGAATCATAATTTATTTGGGTATCTCTTCAGTCAACGGATGCAATTCATACTCCGTAAAAAACAAATGGCAGTTGTAACAAAATACATATAGATATATGTGGCTTACATACTCAGTACAGTATATAAAGTGATGTATGAAAATACAAACATATTGAACAAGTCAAATGTTTAAATGTTAAAGTGGTGGTGGTGGTGATGTAAACATATTCAGTACCATCACACAAATTTTGCAGTTGAAATTATCCATAAAATGGAATCATATGGTGCATACAAACTGTGTTACTGTATAGTAAAGACATTGTTGAATCCTCATCTATAATTACTTTTAAAACATCTTTTTCTTAACTGCTGTATATCTCTCCATGTATTTGTCATAGCCCTCTGCTTCAGTGAAACTCTTCATGTCAAACAGATTTCCCTCAAGGGCCAGAACAGATATCTTAGAATCTGTCAATATTCTTGAACTAATAGCAGCCAACTGAAGGCAATTTTCTTCTAACCTCAAAGTCTTTAGTCGGGGGCAGTCTGCAATATTTTCAGACAAACTTGACACTTGATTTTGATTTAGATTTAATTCTGTAACGTGAATATGAGACACACCTGCAGGGACCTCAGTTATTTTATTTTTTGATAAATCCAACACGTCCAAATGTCTAAGTCCACAAAACATAAGTGGAAATTCTGAAATCTGATTGTCACTTACATAAACTTGCTTCAAGTTTGATAGGTTAGACAAGGTGTGTGGTAGGGTTGTCAGTTTATTTGTACTCACAGACAGGCTCTCTAGCTTACTAAGTTCTCCAACTGATTCAGGTAATGAGATCAACCTGTTCTGATTAACATTTAAGTGTTTCAGCATTTTGAAGGACCCAATTTCATTCGGAAATGTAATGAACCTGTTCTCTGACAGGTCCAGAGTACGTAGGAGTGGTTCAAGTTGTTTCAGACTTGTTGGAAATTCAGTTAGCTTTTTCTGCGAGATTTTAAGGACGCCCGTCTTCTTAGCAGTTTCATAATGTTGTTTAAGACCAGAATTCCCCATACCTGTAAAACGACAACATTAAAATATTAATTAAAAGAGAGCACAAACCACTTCCCTCAATAAGATTACGTTAACATACTCGTGCATCATTTAATTTACCCTGTATTTACTCTGCTACATAGATTTCTATATAACAAATACTGATTGCAATACGTACTCTTTCATTAAGTAAGATGTTGGTCTTATTAACCAAAATTTGTACCAATACCTAACGTCTGTCACAGGCGTCACGATCGTCACGATCAGCTGTGGAAACAAAATATTGGCGTTATTTGTTTAAGAACGATTTTTCATACAATAATCTTCGAAAAGATGGCGCAACAGTAGTTACATAGGAAAGATGGGTGACCACCGTGAGGGTAAAGTTAGTAAAATGTAATGATGTGGTTATGTTTAGGACAAACACAAGCTATCTGGTGATACCGAGGGTAGTCCAGTTATGTCAGCAACACCAAAGTCTGATAAAAATGCATCAGGTAGGTGATATAATTTCCAACCCCACCTTGCCGTGCATTGCGTTTAGGTCCTCGCAGCCAGACGATGAAAAAAAGTAGGAAATAAATATTATTAATAAAGCGTATTAACTGGCTCAGTAGTGCGAACTCCTTCTTGAAAAGCAGATAGCCACTCAGCAAAGTTATTGCGTTTTATTGAACCCACAAATTCGTTACCGTGTTTACAAGAGCCCGCCACTGGATTTTGTCAGCCGCATCAATCTAGTCCACACGCACATTGTTTCTTCAGTATCTTTTTTAATATTGTTCTCAAATGTATGCTGATGACTCCCAAGTGGTATCTTCCCAGAACGTCACAGGTTCAAGTCCTGATGAGGTCGTTGAATTTTTTTCAATTGACCTAATCAGAAATGAGTACCAGGAATATTCTTGGGGCTAAAGGGTGGCTGGCGCATAGGGCTGACAACCTTGCCGCCATCTATGAGCCGATTGTCTAGAAAATGTGGGAACCTCAACATCTGTCAACCCTATGGGCCTGTATGGCTTGTTACAGGGATACCTTTACTTTTTTACGTACGAGTCAGTAATAACATGAATTCATGAGCAGCCTGAGGATGTCATAATGTCAAAACTTGAAGCTAGATGTTTCTTTTATTAATTGTTGTCTAAATGGACATAAAAACATTTTTAGTAAACTTTAAGGAAGCATAATTAATTAATGCAATTGGCCATGGTAGTGGAGCAGTCTGAAGTATGCACTATCTTTGCTCCCTTGGAGGCCGGGATTATGGGTTTGAATCCCACTTAGGGCATGGGTGTTTGGTGTTTGTGTGTGTGCGTTTTTTTTTTGTGTTTGCGACGAGCAGATCACCCACCCAAGGAGTCCTACCGAATGTCCAAGATCCAGTAAACTGAAATGAAATGGAGAGTTTTATGGAGGGAGGCCAAGGCCCAAATTGGGGCTGTAGTGCCAAAGGGGGGGAAAAAATAAATACATGCATATTAGCATCCATTTGTCTATATTCATCTAAATTGCAACACTTGTTTTACACTTCAATATATTCCTTAACACTTAACACTACATGTTTCAGCCTCAAAGGGCCATCTTCAGGTGTTTTATTACAGATGTTCAATCAAGACCTTGTTAAAACTGCTACACTGTTTCGCCCTTCCAATTCATTTTAAAAACCACATGCTGCAGTCCTTCAATTAAAACAAGATAAAATTCTTTTATAATTTGTTGTTTCACTTCACTCAGGGTGCGATTTATACCGTTTCAATTTTGCAATAGCACTTTCAAGTTCAAAGGGGCTAGGATCAGGTATTAACGGCTCAGCTGTATGGATTTCTGTCTGCCTAACAGGACTGACCCTATGTACATTCAATAACTGATAGAAGTAGTTCGTCCACCTATTCAAAATGTTATGGGAATCTGCAAGCAGATCACCATTCTCATCCTTCACTAAGTTACTGCTAGCCTGGTAACCCCTCTTAAAGTCATTTATTCCTCTAAACAGGTCTCCTATGTTCTTGTTCTTACTGTTCATTGCGAGTTCATCAAGTTTGTCCTTCAGATATTCCCTCTTTTTGTTCCCGAAATGCCTGCTGCTTTCACGTCTTATATTGTTCAGATTATCCCCATTTAACTCGCTTGGATCCTGTAACCATTGCAATTTGGCCTGCTTTCTTTGATCTAATAATTTTGAGCATCCTTCATCGAACCATGGATTATGCGATGACTCTCTTTGGCAGACATTTCACCACAAACCTAAGAGAGACTATGGAAGAATTTGACATTTACTCTGTGCTCTTGGCAGTATGTACTGTAGGCTGGCTGTTACAGTTATATGCATGTATCTTGATGAGCGTTTTTTGTATGTAATTCGAAGTGTTGCTCCCTCTGTAAAGTTTTATGCCATATTGTGATATTGACAAGGGAAACAGCCATATCCCAGGAGAAGACTTCTGCTTGACTGTTCTCTTAATTTCAGCTTACTGGGGTACATGTGCTCTTAACAACTCTTGCTTCATTGTGTCAGGTTTGATGCTGAAAAATTGTTTCTGTGCCTTCATATCATTTGTTTCTGTGTGACCAATTGTGATAGGGTTCCTTGTGTTTAGCATGTGACAGGAACTTTCCTTCAATTCCGGCAGCTGAATGCATTACAGGTCATGTGATCAACAGCATTCAGCAGTACAGTGACACGAACTTACTTGGTTTATAAATTTTAACTTAAATAACAAAGTTTTAAAAAACTTTAATATACCAAGAAAGCTGCTGTAGTTGTGGAAAAATTGGATTTTGTATATATTGTGCATTACAGACATTGTATGTATATGTGTTTTAACACTCAAAACACCCATTGTGATAGTAGTTTCCAAAAAAGTATTGATGTCCTTCTGAAGATGGTCTATAAGGACCGAAACATGTAAGGGCGTTGAGTTTTCAAGTAGTAAAAACTCCATTAGTCACACTGGATGGAGTTTTGTCTTTGTAGTACTGTGATACATTGAAATTGGCTTGATCTTGCAAGCTGCAAGGAACGTGAATTCCGACATTTATACGATTTGTCAAATGAAGATTTACATAAATTATTAAATCTTCACAAGTGTGTATACTAGCTTATGTAATGCGATTAATGTATTAGTTTGCTCACATCTGCAGCTGTTACCAAGCAAAAGCTTATAGTAGGAACCCATTTCCTTAACATTTTTTTTTAATTCCATCTGTTTTGTATGTGTCTGAAACTTTGTCTGTCACATTAAGGAATGGACATAAATTGAGGGTGTTTGAGAACAGGGTGCTGAGGAGAATATTTGGACATAAGAGGGAGCATAACTCACTAAATATTTATCAGTGTGGAAACTATTTTAAGCAAACGTTGTAGAGTAAAATGAACACAATTTCCATACCCAGTCTTGGTGGCCAGAAAGGAGGGAAGGGTAAGCCAGGCATCTTCGCCCCCCCCCCCAAGATGTTTGGATAAAATAAAAATTGAGAAAAAGGAGGACATATATGAATTAATAATACCAACAATTGAAATTTCTTTTAAATATGGCTTTGTCTGTGTTTCAAATCTGGGGTGATCCATAAAAATATTTGGAAACGATGTAAATATAAGTCGTTTTTAAAGGGCTCAGACAGTGGTATGTGATACTGGGTATTACTGAATTGTTGGTCGTTGTCTGTCGTCTAGTATTCTAAAAGACACAACATTTTGGGAACTGAATGTTTCACTTGAGGTTGGAAACATATCCAGTTTCCAAAATGCAGTGTGTTTTAGAGTACTGGCCGATGGACTAAGCCAACAACTCAGCAGTGCTGAGGCTTAAACAGAAGTTTGTAAGCAAATATTCTGGCTGCCCCCATTTGATGGCACCCATATGCTCACTACACTTTTTTCTGTAAATCTTAACAGTTTTCAAGATATTTATTCTGAAGAGAGTGAGTGTGCTAGAATTGTTCGACTCTGCCAACATTTCGTACTTCGTTTAAACTGGGGTACCTAAGTTGCAGGGGCACGCGGTAGCATAGTGGTTGATGCAATATGTTGCAAGCTGGAAGATCACAGGTTCCATTCCCGATGAGGTCATTGGCTTTTTTTCAGTTTACCTAATCCTTCCAGCCGCACTATGGCCCCGGGGTCGATTCAGCCCATAACAGAAACGAGTACCAGGAATCTTCTTGGGGGGGGGGGGGTGAGGGGGGGCGGTGCA